CCCGGCTATTTTTTGGTTGCAGCCGTCATTGTTGTTTGGCAGGTCCGGGCTGGGGATTCGAACCTGCCACCTTAGGTGTACGTGGCTGGCGCCCTAGCCGGTTGAGCTATAGGCGCCGAGCCGGCAATAATGATTTTAAAAAAACAGAAGTGGACTATTAATAGCAATGTCACCAGGGGTTCAAGTTCTGGGTTACACACAATTTCTTTCCTGGAGAGCAGATAATATGCAAAGCCAGAAGTGGTTTAATCTTAGTTACAAATTCCTTACATATCTAGTAGTCAGGTTCCTATTTTAAGCACAGTAGCATAGAAATTGTAACTCTTTTAATTCTGGAATGCAATCTTTCAGATTATAGTAAGCCATCCAATACATTATATTTTTCGTCTGTGGCAAAATCTGGAATTTCATGGCACTGCTACTTTGCTTAACTTAGATTTGTATTAATTATACTAGAAAATATTTGGATTATTGTACACCTGACGATGCTTTCCCCATAAACTCTAACGTCTTCTCTTTGCATGGGTTGTGCTCATTTCGAAGTTGTTAATATTGGGGTCTCTTATCCATTTACACTTCCAAATGTTTCCAATACTTTTGAACACACTCTACAAAAAGAGCCCAGAAAGTATCTCTCTACAAGGCTAAAGTAAAATTAATCCAAGTTCTTGTGTTAAGAGTTCCGACTGGGCTTTCCTGAAGGAGGTGGAAGAGGGCGTAGTAAGAGATTTTTCAGACTACGAGCGGTCTGCATGTAATAACGCTCTCTGCAAAAAGGTGACATGTTCTGTTTTTTCTTCTGGCTTGGGCGGGTGGCGCGGAGAGTCAAGTCGAGGAGCTGGAGGGTTTCAGGGCTCCCCGGACACTAAAAAGCGAGTGCCAGGGAACAACGGAGGCGCTGTGGAAACCCAGTCCCGGGCAGCCAGTACCCGGCCAGCGCCTCCTTCAGGCCGACTTCTCCGGCGCATGATCCGGCGCCGTCCCTCCCCCTGCCAGCGTACCTGGGCCGGGCCCGCGGCGCTCGCTGCCCTGCGCAGTCGCCATGGCAACGCCGGGTCTTGCAGCCTCGCCGCCCGGCCTCTAGCCTGCTCTCTTCCCTCTCTGGTCCCTCCCCTCGCCTGGCGCGGCAGCGGGAGAGGGGGTGGGGCGGAGGCGGGGAGAAGACGCAGGCGAGAGGAAGTCGGCGGCGCGACGCCCGCGGCCTATTGGCTGTCGTGTCCCGGTGCCAGAAGCTCCGCCTCCCCGGCGGGGGTCACGTGATCCCTTTCAAAGATGGCCGCCCTGTTGTTTTGATGAATAATACTTGGTGGGGCGAGAGGGTAAGAGTAGGGGTGGAGGGGTAGGAGGATTTACTCTTCCAGCGAGAGCATCGCGAGTCCCATCCTCCCCCTCCCCCCTGCCCGGCCTCTGGCGTGGTGGCGGGGCGTGGCTGGCCTGTTTTGGGAGGGAGGGGCTTCCCTTACAGTGCTGGGCTCTGCCAGGGCGGCTGTGGGGTCGCCTTACCTCGGGGCATCCACTCTGCAGTCGGCCAGGTCCCGCCGGGGGCAAAGGTTAGGAAGGAGAGCAGGATCTGGTGGAGGAAACGCCGCTGACGCGCCATCACTACGAAGACACAGCAGGCTTGGGGCACGAGACAAGCTGGAGACCGCGCTACCTAGTCTGGGTAACCTGGGAAGCATAGGGTAGTAAGTGGCGCCTTAAGATAACCCTGTAGCAGCAGCAGTGGCGGCCAAAGGAGGCTGCTCAGGGCAGTAGCGGCAGTAGGAGTCTCTGGGGCGACTGGAGTGACCGAAGCCAAGGCAGTTCAGTGCCTCTCGTGTTCTTATTTTTTAACCTCTGACTATGCAATTCTGAAGCCTCCCCCGTTCGGGGGACCAGACAGCCTGATAGACACCTTCCACTCCCCTTCCTCCCGCTCCGGTCTCGAGAACAGAAGGATCGCTTCCTAACGCCTTTCACCATTAAGAGGAAAGCGATGGAGGAGCTGAGCGCCGATGAGGTGAGGAGGAGGTTGGGGAGGGGGGCATCTTGAGGGATTAGTTGGCAACTCGTTATCGCTTTGGACAGGGACGATATTGCGCCAGTGGCACCTGGCCTTTGGGCTTGGGGAAGGAACGGAGGGAACGGAGGTGACATTATTCCAAGAATAAAATGACTCCCCGAGAGGGACTCCGGTTTTATTCTCCTGCCTTCTTTCTCATTCTGAACTCCATTTGCTTCTTTCCGAGTGTTCTTTTAGGATCCAAAGAAAAGGAGAGCATCCTGAGGTGCTCATTCTTTCCTTGGGGTATGCAAGCAAGAATGGCTAGATTTTTAACACGTTAAATTGTGTTGGCGTCTTCAGGGATTTAAGGAATAATTTTGGATGGAATCAGAATGTTCAGTGGGTGTATGTTTTTAAAGGAAGTATTTGAAATCCCAAATACGTGTGGGCATTTCATTGTGCAAGTTAATTAAGCATATATTTGTGTTTGCCGCGTGGCTTAAAGGCGGATCCTTTGATGTTTAACAAAATAGGTATGTTCTCAACGGTTTAGAGAATTCCGGTGAAATTCTAGTGATTAAATAGACTGCTGATGACTGCTGGCGTTATTCTCTTTCATTCTGCCTTTTCCTGGTTCTTGTTTCTTTCAAACTTGTGTTTTGCTGCAGCAGAGGCTGCACAGGAAGCAAGTGGAAGCAAATGACTTTATAAACTCTCCCATGTTCTCATTTGTGAAAAGAGTATTACAGATCCCCTACTTGATGTTTTAAAGATTGTTTAATAAATTAGATTGTCACAAAAACAGTGGCAGACAGGATACAAAGAATTTCCTGTGATTCCACTGACTTTTTTCTGCCTTTTTACAAATTGGGACCTTCTCTTTCAGGACATCTCTTGTCAGTATCCTCTTCATCCTGCCTCCTCATTTCTTCCACTTGTTCGTATACTTCCTTACAGAATTATGAAAGCAGTCTCCCACCAGGTTGGTTGTACTACAAGACTTCTATGCTCCACTTACTTTTAGCTACAGAGTAGTATTTTAATAAAATTCTCCAAGAATAGGGCATGTAATGGTGTGTTAAGGGTCAGATAGGAAAAGAAAGCAAATAGTTTTATTGGTTATGGTACTTGGATATTTGGTTTGGAAAGTTAGGATTGCCCGTCCTGCGTTAGTGACTTTGTTTTTATCAAAAACATCAAGAGTATAATTTTAAATGAGAAATATTGAACAAGTTTCTTTCACTTAAGAAATATTAAGAAGTCTTTTTTTTAAGATACAGTCTTTAAAAGTATCTCTCCCCTTATCCTTTTTTCTTTAATTTTAATTCTAGTGGGTAATTTCTCTAAAGGCAAGAATCTGTTTTTTAGTAGTCTTTTACTCCCAGGAATTACTTTTATCTTGAAAGATCTGTAAATAGCCCCTGCTTTAGAGTCTCTTATAATACAGACTTGAGTTTTCACCAAGAAAATTTTTTCAAACCAATAAAGCATACAGACAAGTTAACAGTAGTATATGATCTGAAATGTGTCTCTTTGCTTTACCTAGTCCTGAGGAAGGTGAAACTTTTTTGTGACCCTATAGGGAACACATGTAACATTTATGGAAGAAATAGAAGAAACATTTTTCAAGGTCAACAGAATATTTAAAATAAATATAAAAAATTAAATTTGCTAATATAGATTTAATATACAATTACCTTCAACAAATTAGTTGTCTGAGCATAAAGGGACAATTTAATAACTGGTAATCTTGGCCTGTGGCTCAAAAGGGTAGGGCACCAGTCTCATATGCCTGAGGTGGCGGATTCAAACCCAGCCCCGGCCAAAAAAGAAAATAAACCAAAAAACTGGTAATCTTACTCTCAACAGAACCTAGAACAAATAGTTTTTTGGGAAAAATCTGTTGAATATTTTATATATGTGTATGTATGTATATGTATACATTTTCTTTTTTTTTTTTTTGAGACAGGGTCACATTGTTGCCCTCAGTAGAGTGCCATGGCATCACAGCACACAACAGCCTCAAACTCTTGGGCTTAAGCGATTCTCTTGCCTCAGCCTCCCAACTACCTGGAGACTACAGGTGCCTACTATAACACCCGGCTATTTTTAGAGACAAGTTCTTGCTCTGGCTCAGGCTGGTCTCAAACTTATGAGCTCAGGATATTAACCCACCTCGGCCTCCCAGAGTTCTGGGATTAAAGATATGAGCCACCTTGCCTGACTCTTGAATTATATTTTTATTTTTTATTTTATTTATTTATTTTTTTGAGACAGCCTCAAGCTGTCGCCCTGAGCTCACAGCAACCTCCAACTTCTGGGCTCAAGCAGTTCTCCTGCCTCTGCCTCCTAAGTAGCTGGGACTACAGGGCCCTGCAACAACGCCCGGCTATTTTTTTTTTTTTTTGGTTGCTTGGTTGCAGCCTTCATTGTTGTTTGGCGGCCTGGGCTGGATTCGAACCGCCAGCTCAGGTGTATGTGGCTGGCTCCTTAGCTGCTTGAGCCACAGGCACTGAGTCTTGAATTATATTTTTAATCCAATTTTTAAAATTTTGGGCTTAGGTGAGCACTTCTCAACAAATCTTTTGCCTGTGTATTGTCATTTGGGGGTGGATTCTTGGGTTGGATATAGTAGGTGATATTGATTTGGTTAGAAAATGATATTACTGGCTCGGTGCCTATAGCTCAACCGGCTAAGGCGCCAGCCACGTACACCTAGGGTGGCGGGTTTGAATCCCCAGCCCGGACCCGCCAAAAAACAACAATGACGGCTGCAACCAAAAAATAGCCGGGCGTTGTGGCGGGCGCCTGTGGTCCCAGCTACTTGGGAGGCGGAGGCAGGAGACTCGCTTGAGACCAGGAGTTGGAGGTTGCTGTGAGCGTAGTGCCATGGCACTCTACCCAGGGGGACAGCTTGAGGCGCTGTCTCAAAAAAAAAAAAAAAAAAAAAAAAAATTTATTTAAAATAAAAGCGTGTATATTAGGGCTGAAATAGGCAAGACAGTAATCTTTTGGTCTAAATTAGGAAATTAGGTAGGCTGAGTTTTATATTTAACAAAATGAAAATGGATAAGAATACAATCCACGACAAATAAAGGTTAGTGTAACTATACTGGTAGCTTTAGAAGATTTATATTATGGGCACTTTTTAGTTCCTCTCAGAAGTCACCTTGAATCCTTGCATTTTTTTTCTTGTGCTTCATAAGTAGCTTAAGCTTCCTTGCTGTTTGTTATTTATTTAGTGTATAACAGTGAGTTTATTGCTCTATAGAGCAGATCTCTGACTAAGTTCATTCCCATTAGGAACCTACATTCCGGGGCATCATTATTTACATTATATTCATTTTGTAGCCTATGCATGTATTGTTTTTCTTGTACCAAGATGATGCTGTGAATGGGGCAAGGCAGGTATTTTAAACGCTTTTTCAATAGGGGCGATCAGATCGCATTGAAATTATTTGCCTTTCCCCCCCCTCCTAGATAATTCTTTATGACCTATTTCATCTGCAAGATGGTTGGCTGGGATTCAGGGTGCGGTCAAGGTTTTAGAAGAGTGTTACGTGTTCTCTCCCAAATGCAGAATATGTGACCTTGGACTTTTTAGCAGTGTTCTGTAAGTGGAAAAGGATTGCCATTTAATAACAGCCTTAGAAGCCTGCTCTGTCCCAGGCACTTTATAGCCTGTGTCTCATTTGATACAACAGGGGAATCAAGCAGGTACTGTTTTCTTTATACTGTTGGGGAAACTGAGATCTAGGTTAAGGCACTTGTCCATGGTGACCTGGCTTAGAAGTGACAGACTTGGAATTCAAACCCAGAGCTCTTGACTCTCGAGCCTTTTTACTACATTTTACTGCCTAACAACCAGCTGTCAGTTCACCAAAGCTTTTATATTAATATCCTACTAACATTGACCCACTCTGCTTGATATGCATAGTTTTTCTATGAAAGTGTTGGTTTGCATGAATGCATTAATGCTGGGATCAAGGACTTTCCTACTGAATCTCTTCTCCCTCACACGATTGTTCTCTGGACAAGATTTAAAGAAATTCTAATTTAATTGAGGTGAGGGAGATTGTAATCCTACATTTACAATATAATGCCAAGTGCTATTGTGGAGGTATGCATAAGGCACTTCAGAAAAACAAGAAAGGACCCCTGGAGGGACATTGTCTTGGAGAAGACTTTGAAGAAAAAGTGATATTTATGCTGAGTAGTAGTAACTTCCTAAAGGGCCCTAGAAATAGATTCTGAGAGTGGGGAGCTCTAGAAACTGCCCGAAGTAGCAAGACTTGAACATTGGATGTTGCGGGGAAAGGGGTGGGGGTGGGGGTGGGGGGAAGAGGCAGGCACCGGATCATGGAGGGCTCTCAGAAATGTTTAGGAGTTTGAATTTCTCTGTAAGATGCCATTGAGGGAATTAAAGGGATTAGAGAACTGCCTGACAAGGGTGTAGAAGGGCTGTTTGGAAGAAGGTGGCTACAGACCACAAAGCAAATTAGAAGGCTGCTGTCACTATCTAGCAGTGAGGCAGTGGAGTCAGACAGAACTAAAACATTGCCAGTGGGACTGGAGGGGTGGAGACAGACACCGGGAAACCAATGATTAAGTTAACTCACTTTGAACAATCAGATATGAAGGAGGAGGGTGAGGAGGAGAAAGGGAGGTGATGCCTCATTTTCTAGCTTGGGAGAATGGATTGGTGTTAAATAAGGAATTCCAAACAAGGACCAGATTTTGGAGAAAGCAGATAAGTTTTGTTTTGGATCACTGAAAAGGCACCTCAACAGGGAGGGAGACTCTCACCCTGTCCTTTTTTATTTTATTTTATTTTATTTTATTTTTTGAGAAAAAAAAGTAGTGTCACTTCGTTGCCCTCAGTAGAGTGCTGTGATGTCATAGCTTACAACAATCTCAAAGTCTTGGGCTCAAGTGATTCTCTGCCTCAGCTGCCCAAGTAGCTGGGACTACAGGCACCTGCCACAATGCCTGGCTTTTTAGAGACAAGGTCTTGC